AATTTCGTTTTCTGAATTTAAAAAAAAAAGAATGCATTATAAATAATTCGAAGAAATAAGTGGAGGCATGGGAACAAGAGAAAAATAAGGAGGTAAAAAGTCCACGTAATAAGCCCCGTTTGGTAGTATCCCATGACCGGAGCAGTTCAATTGAGTCCGCACGATTGAGTCCCCACGATTGAGTCCGCACGATTGAGTCCCCACGATTGAGTCCCGGCACGATTGAGTCCCCACGATTGAGTCCGCACGATTGAGTCCCCGTTGTATATACCTCAATTGAGTCCCCGTTAAAAATTCCCGGTAGGAATTTTTATTTTCCTAGATTTTTTATTGTTTTTTTTTATTTTTTTGTTTTTCTTTTGGGGTTTGCAACTAATTTTGTTAATTAGTTGACCGAGCATCCACTCAAGTCCATCCGAGCACTGAATTTTCTCAATGAGGACGAGAGGGAGGACGAGAATCTTGTGTAGGTAAAAGTTTAATTTTTATTTTTTAATTTTAGATTTTATATTTCAGGTTGGTCTAACTTTGCTCATCACGTGTCGGACTTCATCCCACGGCTGCAACGATGGGAAATTTGAAAAGGTTTGGAATTTTTATTTTGTTTTTCGTTTTTATTTTTAAAATTTTTTAGTTGATTTTCGTCAGTTTCTGACTGGCGATTTTCAAGTTCACAGTTTCTGAAGGAACGAAGGTGGTGAACTTAGGAGAACAAAAAACGAAAGAAAGGCCCTTCTTTGGCACAATAATTGAAGCTAGACTTTGGTTTTTTTTAATTTTTTTGATAAAATTTTTAAAAAATATTTTTTTATTTTTTTTTTCACATTTTGATTTTCTCCCGTATCCAGGTAAATTCTGCCGGAGTCCGGAAATTAGGAAGGAGTTTTTACGTTCGTAATTTAGATAGTTTCCCCTACCCTCCATAGCAGCACAAAAAGTTTTTCCAGCGAAGATTCTGTTGGTCAAAATTTGTTCAGAATCATTCAATCAACTTGATTTTGGTCTTATTCAACTCATCTCGTCGATCCCTTTCGAATGAGCTATTTTTTGTTTATTCGAATGTTTCGCAACAAAAATTCCCCATGGAATTCCACCAAAAAATCCACCATTTCAAGCCCCATATCTCGGCGAGAACTTGTTCAACAATGTTGATTTTGGTGTCATTCGACTCACTACTTTCGAATGAGCTATCATTCAAAAAATCTCTCGATATCCCTCCTAATCCCCAAACCCACAATATCCATCTTAATCTCTCCGAATTTGTTGATATCTGCCTTAATTCAACCGATATCCCCGCTTAAATCTACTTATATCCCTTGATATTCACCAATATCCATCTTGATACCTCGATGTCGCATACAAGTCCCCTGATATTAACATTAATCCCTCCAAATCCCCAAATATCCCTCTTAATCTTTTTTAATATAATTAAATCTAGGGGACTCAATTGAGGTATATACAACGGGGACTCAATCGTGCGGACTCAATCGTGGGGACTCAATCGTGCCGGGACTCAATCGTGGGGACTCAATCGTGCGGACTCAATCGTGGGGACTCAATCGTGCGGACTCAATTGAGGTGTACCGTCCCATGACTATTGATAGAGTCAAGGAAAAATCAAGATTGAAACCAAGACTAAAGCGATCTCAACTTTATATCTTAAAAATACTTTGGATTTGGTGGAATATGAGCGTCACAGCCAAACTCATTCAAATTGTAGATACGCCAACATGCATTTAAATCGACGTGGTCTAGAGCAATTGAATCATCATCGAGTTGATTGTTGTCCTAGTAAAATTAAAAGTTCACAAAAACATTCAAAAGTTTTACAAAAGCAATGGAGACAGCTTATTTTTTTTCAACAAAGAATCAAATAGATCCGATCTCCGCATAGTTTCTTGAGGAAAAGTTTTTAAAAAATCACAATTAATAACATAATAAAAAAGATTATAAAATTGCCAAAACAATTTTTAAAAATAATTATAATAAAACGTGTAAAAAATAAATAAATTTTTATTCAATATAAAAAAGAAAATTTTTTATCAACAATAACCATTTAAGGCAAAAAACTGAGTTGAAAACAAACAAGAAAGCTAATAAAATGGACAAACAAAAAGAAAAAGTATTATACTACTTAAAATTTAAATATTTATGCAGTCTTTGAAGGTCACATATAAGCAAAAATCTTGGCTCTTGTCCAGTTCATGCGTCCCATGAAAATTTATGCGTCCAATGAAGATTTATGAGTCCCATAAAAATTTATGCGTCCCATGAAAATTTATGAGTCCCAAAAATAGTTTATGCGTCCCATAATAATTTATGCGTCCCAAAAATAATTTATGCGTCCCATAAAAATTTATGCGTCCCATGAAATAAATTGAAAAATCTTTTGTTAATCAATTATACTGTTCTTTGTTAATCAAATACGGTATTTCCTAAAGTAATACTCCCCCCCCCCTCTGAATTAGTACTCCCCCCTTAAATAATACTCCCCTTTGGAGGAGGGTTGAAAAATAGTACTCCCTCCTGTTTAGCACTCTCCTTAAAATAGTACTCACTTCTAGAATATTTGGCTCTTGTCCAGTTTATGCGTCCCATGAAAGTATATGCGTCCCATCAACAAAAAATTGGATATTTCTTGGTGTTGCAAAGTAGGGGTATGGTTCCAAAGCATTTCTTCATGTTCGGGATCTACGTCCACTGGGTCTGGGACCGTTACTTACCCTATCCTTCGAAATTTCTGAAAGTTATAGCCAATTTTTAAAAATTTCAGAAAAACGATTTTAACACACAGAAATTTCGAGGTATAGGGTAAGGAACGGTCCCAGACCCAGTAGACGTAGACCCCGAACATGAAGAAATGCGGCTGTACTTTAGCCGGTGGCCCACTCAGAAACGTGGCAAATTATATACCATTCGATTCGTCTCGGCGAGCTGAGTCGAATGGTACCACTCTTTTTTTGAGGAAATTCCTGCGAGCCGAGATATAGGTCCTTAAAAACCGAAAAACAATAGGGGGACCAAGCACATTTTTGGGGTGAAAAATTCGAATATGCAAATTATACCTCATTCGAAAGAGCTCGTCGAGCTGAGTCGAATGAAACCAAAATCAACGAAATTCGACTTGATTGGACAAAGTTATGATCTTTTATTTTAGCTCCTTACCTTTGGTCTACGTGCAGGTTTTTCTTGCTGGGGAGGAAGCCAGACATTCCGACCGCAGCTAAAATAGGCATAGGTTTATGTTACGAGCCCAGACCCAGCGCCCGTAGACTCACCGCGAGGCGCGTGCCGCAAAACCCCGCGCGAAGCGCGGGGTTTTGCACAAGCGCCTCGCCGACGCCCCATAGGTTTAGTTTTTCTATCGTAACTTTGTCCAAACTTGTCCAATCACGATGATTTTGGAGTCATTCGACTCAGCTCGAGGAGCTCTTTCGAATGAGCTACTATTTGCATATTCGAATTTTTTACCCCAAAAAAGTGCTTGGTCCCCCCTATGGTTTTTCGATTTTCGGGGGCCTATATCTCAGCCCCTGTATGAGTCCGCACGAAAATTTTTTCACCATTCGACTCAACTCGACGAGCTCTTTCGAATGACATATAGTTTGACCCATTTGCGTTCTGTTTAGTATTCCGAAATTTTTCCCGGATTGGCAAGTTATTGGCAAGTTTTAAGGCAATTTTTAAGTTTATTGGCAAGTTTTAAAGATTTTGCCCTTATTGGCAAGATATGGTTTTTCGATTTTCAGGGACCTATATCTCGGCTTGTAGGCATTTCCGCAAAAAAAGAATAGTACCATTCGACTCAGCTCGCCGAGACGAATCGAATGGTATACATATCGAGGGGTTTCTGAGTGGGCCACCGGCTAAAGTATATCCAAATGCTTTGGAACCATACCCCTACTTTGCAACACCAAGAAATATTCAATTTTTTGTTGATGGGACGCATATACTTTCATGGGACGCATAAACTGGACAAGAGCCAAATATTTTTCCCCTATATTTTAAAAAATATTACGAGACTCATTGAATTACTTTATTTATTCTAGCATAAGTAGCGTTGTCGGTTTCACTTGAGGAAGGCGATATAAGCATAAGTAGCGTTGTATATAGCATAAGTAGCGTTGTCGGTTTCACTTGAGGAAGGCGATATAAGCTAGTGCTTCGCCGGAAGTTCCGGTTCCAGTATTTCCGCAACTCGCAATCCGCAATTTTTAAATTATGATGCGAGTCCGGTAATAGAATTTGTCGTCGATTAAGTAATATGTATATGTGGATTAGGGAGTGGAGTATAAACGGATTTGTAGTATATAAGTAATTGCTATCTTCCTTTTTCAGCGCCGCAGGCGAAAATTTTGACAATTTGGGAAAGCCAAGAAGCCGAAATTCTTTTTTTTCAGCGCCGCAGGCGAAAATTTTTTAAATTTTCAATAAAAGATGGTAAATTTTATAGATTTTGGCCTTAGTTTAGGCTTAAAAAATTGTTTCGTTTCGTTGAAAAATCACAGTGTTTCGTAACGAAACGAAACGAAACAAATTTAAAAGTGTTTCGTAACGAAACGAGACGAAACAGTAAAAATCATACGAAACATACGAAACAACGAAACGAAACGAAACGTTTCGCCCACGTCTGCTTGGGACTCATAAATCTTCATGGGACGCATGAACTGGACAAGAGCCAAAATCTTTACGTTTGAAAAAAACAGAAAATTTCTTAAAGAAAATAACAAAAGGAAAACAAAAAAGTAATCACTAGGGTTGTCGGTTCTTGGAAAATCTTCGGATATACGGAACCGAACCGAAGAACTGAAAAATATAAATATTAATTTAAAATTGAAAGAATTTAAAAAAATAAAAATTATATAAGTTCTAATCTTACACACTAAAGTTTTACGAATAAACTTGAATGGTAAAACTTTATTTAAACTTAAAGTTTTGTTAAGAAAAAAAATTTTTCTTAATATTTTTTTTGAAAAATACTAACCAGAAGACTATTGTTGTTATTGTTTTAAAGCAATTGATTTAGACAGTTTACGTATCCATAATGCCCTAACTTCTTCATCCAATGGATGCATAGCAAAACAATAACTGGCAGAATTTCCATTTTTATCAGTGTCCCATATTTCAAATTTTTGATTAGAAAAACGAGAACTTGCAGCAAAACCCAAAGATTCTTTTGGAATACAAAATTTATGTTCAAAATATTTACAGCCTTGTTGAGTTGTTGTCTGTAAACGTTCTTTACATAAAAGAATGCCGCCATCAAAAAGTAATCTTAATTAAATTAAATTTATTTAATTTCCTAAATTTCAAAAAAAAATTCACAATTGCATTTCTTGTTCGCCCTTCTTTTTCCCTGAATTCACACCTTTAGCACCTGCACTTTTTGATTTATAAAAAATTGAAACAGTAAATTCTGTTCTAAGTCGGAGAGAGCCTAAGTTTAGAGCACCCTAAAAAATTTTGAAAAATTTTCTCTTCAAAATTAAAAAATTAATTTTTCCTACAGAATAATCAAGTAGCTTTAATTGTTCCATAGAAGCATTTATTTGAGCTAATAATTCCAACATTGAAGTTAAAGCTGTTTGAACATGTTGTAATGATTGTTCAGTTGGGCAATGTTTAATTAATTCTTTTAATAAAAGTTGATATTTCTAAAAAATATTTTTTAATAAAATTGAGATGGGACTTAGATTAAAGAACCTTAGTTATCGAGTTAGAGATTTTTAGAGATATCGATCTCATAGCTTAATTAATTCTCATGACTAGGGTTGGTACCCGGTTCGGTTCGAAAGATCGAACCGGGCCCCGAATTTTGGCCCGGTTAGATACACAGTGTACAAGATATATCCAATGCTAAACTGGATGAAATGTCATGTATCTAGTACCTTAGGAATCAATGCTCTAAAATACATAGAATTTTTGTTGACTACAGGGTGGAGGAACTATCAAAGCAATACTCTCAATTTAATATAACCTTATTATAAGGTAAAAATTTTCATTCTTAAGAGGGTTTCTTATCAGGTTCTACTCTATTAAATAAAAATCTCACAGTAATTCGTTGTATAGGTTTTAATAAATAGGTACAAAGAGGAAGTGGGTGACCAGCACTCCTTTGGCAATCCAAAATAAATTTATTTTTATCAACTTTATGTTCTCTGATGAAGTCGTCACTAGTTGGTTTGTTCTTACAATATTGACGATAAAGAGATGAAAATTGTTTTCTTTGAGAAGATAAAACTGTTGAAACGCCTTCTGCATAATTTGAATTTTGGTGAAGGGAAGGGAGAAGAATTGAATGATGAAAATCATGCTGTGAAATTTAGTTAATTTTTTAATTTAATTAAAACTTAAATAAAAAATAAGTGGTAAAGAGGTTTAAGACTGAAAATTTACCAAGACCGTATCAAAAGACTAAAAGTTGACCCCAAACCCAAGACCAAACTCAAGACTAATATTCTGGTCCTATATGAAAATTTTTTTATTTTTAAGCTTGGATAACCATAATTTTTACTTTGAGGAATTATTTAAACATTAGGGACCAATTTGATTGTTCATCGCCGCAGGCGATAATTTGGGTATTATAACGAGAAGAAGGGGTAAATTTACTCTTGTAATTTTAAAATTATATATAGTAAGAATCAAAGAGAAAATCTGAGACCTAAACGTTGACTCCAAAACTAAGCCCGAGAATCCCCAAGAAAGGTCCCCCTCTCCCCTTCTTTTACAAAAAAGTTTTTTACCAAATCTCGAATATTTCCAAAAAGTATATTAGACTGTCCTGGTAAAATATTATGTGAATTAGCTGTTCCATTGTTGCTAGTAAACTCAAGAGCCTCTAAAGGTAGAATATAATGATGAATGATTTCAGCCAATTCGCAGACATAAGTGCGCTCTGTACTTAACTAAAAATAAATAAAAAAATAAAATGAGAGAATTATAAATAAATTTTTTAATGTCGAAAATTGTGTGTTATTATATATAGACTTGAGGTTTCTCATAACTTAGGCGGAGGAAATATAAAAAAATTAGAAAATTGTGGATTTTTCGGCTCAAAAAAGAAAATTAAAAAGTTATTGGCCCTCAAAGTTTTGAAATGTCAGAGTCTTTCTATGAGAAAAATTAAAAAAATTTTATTTAAATTTTCAAGATTATTTCTCAACTAACCAATTCATCAAGAACATAATTCACTTTTCCCCCAACCAAACATTTCTCCATTGGTGGACCAGCAGTAATTGAAGAGGATAAAGATGAACATGATTCTATTGGCAATTTTGCACAAGAGGATGGGCTATCGATGGGGGAATAGTTAAGTTTAATCAATTCCTTTTTGTCGTGTTTGCTTGATGAAGCAATCCCAATTAATTCGGTAAACGATGAAGATCTCCTCTTTCCCTAAAACAATTTAATTTATAATTTTAATTGTAAGGACAAAAATTTTTTCAAATAAAGTAAAGGATGGTAATAGTCTTCGTAACCCCCCCCCTCCTTTTTCCTTCCTAAAAGTATTAAAAAATGGTCAGTGTCTTAGGTTAGAGAACTCGGCGAGCTGTGTCGAAGGACACCAAAATCGACCCCTGGTCTTAACTTTGGGCCGAGATACAAACCCCCGAAATTTGGAAAATAAAAGGGTGGACCAAGCTTATTTTTTTGGACCACGCTCATTTTTAAACAAATAAAGCTCATTCGAAAGAGCTTGTCGAGCTGATTCGAATGACATCAAAATCAACATAATTGAAAAAGATTTGACAAAGTTATGACATAAAGTAATCCTGTTGTAGTCGTGAGACGCTTTTGCAAAACCTTTCGCTTTGCGCAGGGTTTTTGTATCTCGGCCCAAAGTTAAGACCAGGGGTTGATTTTGGTGCAGCTCGACGAGTTCTATAACCTAAGGCTGACTGACCATTTTTTAATATTTTAGGAAGGAAAAAGGAAAAAAAAACTCCTATTACCGTAAAGGAGTCCATAAATTTTTTTTTGGAATTTTCGTTCCGTGACCCTCCTTATGTTAGATGGGTACTTGTGGTTTTTTGGAGATGTACAAAAAGGTATCGATAGAGCTCCAAAAGGTATCAATAGCTTACCATTCAGTACAATTAAGTCCGCAAAAAGCACTTAGGGATAACCCACAAGTACCATTATTGTTAATAAAAACGTAGAGACTAAGTAAAAAAATTGCAAATTTAACAAACTTACAGATTCAGCTCTTTCCACAGAGTATGATCGAGATCGACGTCTTGGAGTTACCTTCTCCAATAAATCCTTAAATGAGCTAGATCTTCTAACCTAAAACAAATTAATTTATAATTCTAATTGTAAGGACAAAAATTTTTTCGGATATAGTGGTGCACCGGAAATAGTGGTGCATCGCCCATTCCTTCCACTACTCCCACATAGGATCCGTGTCAAGCGTCGAGCGTTGAGTGTCGAGCGTTTTGTTCCGTGCTTTTTTATTTCTATGTAGGAGGGGCACGTACCACTCGACGCTCAACGCTTGACAGTCGTCCTTGTCGAGCGTTGAGCGTCGAGTGTCAAGCGTTCTTCCTACATTGAAATGGGCACGGATCGCTATGTTCGTCTCTCTGTGCTATTTCTTCTATATTTTAAAAATTGGTCCTAATTATGTAAAATTTTTGGAAAATTTGAAAAATTTAAATATAATTTTAAGAATTGATACTATTTTTATCTATCAAAAATAAAACTAGATTAAAATCAAATGATTTTAATTTGGAAAAAATTTGAATCGGGGAAGAAATCCCAAAGAATCGGGGTTTCTTCGAAAAAAATTTTTAAAAATAATTATTTGTTACAACGGGCGTTGGAACGATTATACTGGGAAGAAGGTAATCCTTTAGAATCTGGGATCCATTTTAAAAACCTTAAAAATCATTATTTTTTTCTGAAAATTATTTTATATACACTCTGTCAGAAAATTATAAGCACCCCCTAGTTTTTGAATAAAAACATAGTTAAAGTCAAAATATCATAGTTTTAAATATTTTTAGGATTTTCTGATGCATATTGAACAGAAAAAAACAATCATTGATAAAATAAATATAGATAGTAGAGAAAATGAATGAAATTTCGTTAAAACGACTGTCAGATAATTATAAGAACCCCTAAGGTTTCGACATTAGGGGTCGTCCGAAAAATCTACAAAAATTCCTATGAACATATTTAGCGATGTGGATCGAAAATACAAAAGAAACTGAGTTCTAACATAACCCCTAGATCGAGATACAAAAACCCAAAAATCAACGGAAAACTGGGGGTAGATGTATTTAAAAAGTATTTTCAACCCCTTACAGGTGAAATAAAAATTTCATTTTGGGCTTATTTGAAAGTCCTTGAAATTTGCTACAAGATAGCGTTAATTTTATTTTTCGACTGGTCTCAGTTGAGGTATATACAAGGGAGACTAAGTCGCTTGGACTCAATCGTGAGGATTCAGTGAAATGCACCGATTTTGGAAGGCAAATTCAAAAAGCCGATGGTCAAAAATCCTCCTTTTTTATAAAACAATACAAGGAAATTGGAAAAATCTCAGAACCGGATCAAAAAACTCGGATTTGGGACTCGGACTCCGGAAAAAAACAACAGAAAATATCCAAAAACAACTAACAAACACAAAAAATACCTCAAAAACACCTAAAAATAAATAGAAACAAAAAAACAACCAAAAAATCAATAGAAACGCAAAAAAACACTCAAAAATACAAAAAACACCTACAAAAACCCACAAAAAAGACAAAAAAAAACAACAAAAACGAAAAAAACAACAAAAAACGAAAAAAAAAACACCCAAAAACCCCAAAAACACCCAAAAACCCCAAAAACACCCAAAAAACAAGTAAAAAACACAACAACAATCAAAAAACATAAAAATGACAATTTATCCCATTTCCAAAAAAAATTATATTTTTCTTTCGCAGTCTGCACCATGTACTCTATAGTGTTGAGCGTCAAGCGTTTTTCAAGATTTTTTTGAAAGCAAAAACGCTTGACACTCGACACTCAACGCTCGACACGGACGTCTATGTGGGAGGGTGCGCTTGACACGGATGCACGCACGGATGCCCGCACGGACGCTTGACGCTCAACACTACACGGAGCTATGTAGGAGGGTGCGCTTGACGCTCGACAAAACGCTCAACAGAACGCTTGACACGGACGTCTATGTGGGAGGGTGCGCTTGACACGGATGCACGCACGGATGCCCGCACGGACGCTTGACGCTCAACACTACACGGAGCTATGTAGGAGGGTGCGCTTGACGCTCGACAAAACGCTCAACAGAACGCTTGACACGGATGTCTATGTGGGAGTACCCTTCCATGGGAAAAATACAGAACGCAAATGGGTCAAACTATATGTCATTCGAAAGAGCTCGTCGAGTTGAGTCGAATGGTGAAAAAATTTTCGTGCGGACTCATACAGGGGCTGAGATATAGGCCCCCGAAAATCGAAAAACCATAGGGGGGACTCTGCACTTTTTTGGGGTAAAAAATTCGAAAATGCAAATTATACCTCATTCGAAAGAGCTCGTCGAGCTGAGTCGAATGACACCAAAATCAACGAAATCCGACTTGATTGGACAAAGTTATGATCTTTTATTTTATCTCCTTACCTATGGTATCTGTGGAGATTTTTGCTGCTCCGGAGGCCCCAAATACGTCCAGAGCATGGAAGATAGGAATAGGTTTATGTTACGAGCCCAGACCCAGCGCCCGTAGACTCCCCGCGAGGCGCGTGCCGCAAAACCCCGCGCGAAGCGCGGGGTTTTGCACAAGCGCCTCGCCGACGCCCCATAGGTTTAGTAGTTAGTTTAGTCTCGGTCCAATCAAGTCGGATTTCGTTGATTTTGGTCTCATTCGACTCAGCTTGTCGAGCTCTTTCAAATGAGGTATAGTTCGCATATTCGAATTTTTCACCCCCAAAAAAGTGCTTGGTCCCCCCTATGGTTTTTCGATTTTCGGGGGCCTATATCTCAGCCCCTGTATGAGTCCGCACGAAAATTTTTTCACCATTCGACTCAACTCGACGAGCTCTTTCGAATGACATATAGTTTGACCCATTTGCGTTCTGTTTAGTATTCCGAAATTTTTCCCGGATTGGCAAGTTATTGGCAAGTTTTAAGGCAATTTTTAAGTTTATTGGCAAGTTTTAAAGATTTTGCCCTTATTGGCAAGATATGGGATTTTAGTATTATTGGCAAGATATGGGTTTTGAGCCTTATTGGCATGATATGGGTTTGGCAAGATATGAATGGGCAGGATATGCATTTTTGCCCCTGTTGGCAAGATATGGAATTTTGCCCTTATTGGCAAGATATGGGTTTTTAGCCCTATTGGCAAGTTATGAAATTGGCAAGATATGCGGGCACGAATGGAACAACACAAAATGGTACACAGCAAAAAATAGGACAAAGCATCTCCAAATTTGTGCGACAATTTCGTCAAATTTTTGCTGTGTACCATTTTGTCCTTATCATTTTGAATGTTTCCATTTTGTTCTAGCAACTTCTCTTTTTTGATTGATTAAATTTTTCATTGTCTACCCTCAAGCATTTTTCATTGTTTCTTGTGATGAGTTTCACGAAAAATGTTCTAAAGATAAAATTACATTATTTCAACTCAATTAAGTTTTACTGTAGATATAGTAACTTGGTAAAATTGAACTTCCTTTCTCCCTTTTCTTTCTGAAAGCTTAAAATGGTCAAACTTAAAATGTGTTAGTCACCTCTTTTGCTAAAACCTATGCCAACATCCCGATTCTCTATATTGAACCAAGTTTCTGTAAGTCCGTCAGGGCTGCAAGCAAAAAAGAATTTCTGCAAAGCAATCCGCACGTCAGAAAAATACGCAATTTCACGCAATCCGCACTGCGTGCATCCTGCCAAATACTTTTATGCGGCCAGTGGTTCTAAAGAATAACCGGTACCTATAACCATAGGGGTTTGCAACACATTTTAAGTCTGACCATTTTTAAACCTTGAGGAAGTAAAGGGCGAGGGGAACGAAGTTCAATTTTGCCCGTAACTTTAAATTTATTTTTTAGAGATTTTTCAATTAAATCTTTAAATCTTCAATTTTTTAATTAATCAAAAGTCAAAAAGAAAATGTCATATTCCTACTTATTTAAGTACATAATTATTGGAGACACAGGTTTCTTTTAGAAAAGAACTTTTTAAAAGCAAATTTAAAGGTGTTGGAAAGTCCTGCCTCCTCCTTCAATTCACTGACAAACGTTTTCAACCTGTACATGACTTGACTATTGGAGTAGAGTTTGGAGCTAGAATGATTGCTATTGATGGAAAACAAATTAAGCTGCAAATATGGGACACTGCTGGTTTGTTTTGGGGGTTTTTTAATGGGTTTAGGGTGGATTCCAAATGGACATGGGTTAGGGTAGTTTATGCCACTGACAAAAGGGACAGGGGTGCTGTTTCTGCTGTAAATCAGAGCCTTTTAAAATCCCCCAATTCTTGATTCTGGCTGGGGATCTTGACTAGCTTCTTGACCCTTAGACAAGCTTAAATCAAGGAACACTGAAAAATGCCTTGATTTGACTCTGGTTATATGAACGGTCAAGATTTTGATCCCGATTTTTGCTTAGTTTTCTTTCAATCGTCTCTGCAGTTTGTGGGGCAATACTTTCATTTATTCTACTATTTCACCTTAATTTAGGCAGCTTGGGTTTGCCGTTTACTCATGGGTTTCTTAACAATGTTTGGGGGTTTGTGATTTCTGTTAACTTTTTGGTACCTTTTTGGTGTGTTCTGTGGGTCCATGACTTATAAGTTGGCAGGGGTGTGCCTGTTTTGACTTTCGTTTTTCACCGATTTATTTAATCAATTATTAGGTCAAGAATCATTTCGTTCAATAACTCGTTCATACTATCGAGGAGCTGCTGGTGCTTTGCTTGTGTATGACATAACTCGGTAAATATTTAGTAAAAGAGAGTATAAGGTTATCCCGGGAAGGCATCGATCCTTTTGACTTCTTTGAATTTTTTGTTAGTCAGTTTCGCTTACCACAACAGGTGCTCTACCGAATGAGTTACCGGAACGCTGCTTTCATCCACTATTCTAATAGATCCTTAAGCCCCCGTCTAGCTAGGTAGACTGGGATCTGGGCTGTTGGACTGACCCAGCTATCCACTTGGATATCCCTTCCCCACAATTTCATTTAAATAGCACTTTCATCTTTCACAATTTCCAGGCGTGACACTTTCAATCATTTAACATCTTGGTTAGAAGATGCTCGTCAACATTCAAATTCTAATATGGTTATTATGTTGATTGGCAATAAAAGGTTTCTTTGGGCTTTTTTGAACTTTAATCGTTAATCTTTAAAGTGATCTAGAAGCTCGCCGTGAAGTTAAACGTGAAGAGGGCGAAGCGTTTGCACGTGAAAATGGTTTGGTTTTCATGGAAACTTCAGCAAAAACGGCAGCAAATGTTGAAGAAGCTTTTATTGATACGGCTAAAGAAATATATAGGAAAATTCAGGAGGGTGTTTTTGACATCAATAATGAGGTTTTTTTTATTTTTGACATGTTTAAGTGGGATTGTTTTATTTGGTTTCTTTTTTAAGGAATGTCGTTGAGGGTTTTCTATTATTAATTTGCAGATGGACCTTAGGACGTAGCCAGAAAATTTTTGGGAAATACATCCAATACTAGATACTCCTCGATTTTCGATGCCTAAAATTGTTTTGTCATATGATGGGAAGATAAGCGATGACCCTTTTTAAGATATTCCTAATTAAGCTACCCCTTTGTAAGCCACAAGGTCTTATTTAAAGGTGAGATCCGATGTTTAGCTTTACTATTCTTGTACTGAATTTTTATTGTTATTATTCCGATTATTGGCGATGTGATTAATCTCCCGGGAGTTCCTGCAAACTTTTGTATAAAATTATCCTCAAATTCGATTTTGTCTGTCACTAATTCTGAATTATCTTTTTAAAGGCAAATGGAATCAAACTTGGACCACAACATTCGCCAAGCTCTCCAAATGCTCCAGGTGGTGGTACTCCTTTAGGCCGAGCAAGCAATTGCTGTGCTTGAATAGGAAGATTATAATCTCGAAAAGGAAGTGATGTGATGATGATGGAGTTGTGAAATATATTTTTTTAAACTAAAAAATGTTTGTTTATTTAAATAATTCTATTAAGTGTAAGGTATCTTTTTTTCTGACAATGAGAAGATATTAAAAATGTTGTGCTCGTCTCTAGTGCAGTAATACTTCGAGTGGTATTACGCATTAACTGGTACAAATGTACGTGTTTTCAATGTTTGCTTTGGGTTCCGTAAAGTTTTTTTTGGTATTTTTAAAAAACATTTTTATAAGTCGCCTAACAATAAGTATTAGAAATGAGCGCGCAGTCAACAAAGTAAATTAATTTAAATTGAAGATTTTTTATTGGGATTTGGACTAGAGTGGACAGTATATTAGTAGGTACATTACAAGGTTTTGTTTCTAGTAAATACTTAAGCCTATGTTTAGTATGAGTCCGAGGCCAAAAATAAGAAAAATACGATCAAAATTTATATTAACTTAAATTCAACTCCATTTTACGGAAAGATATAAGAGATAAAAGTTAAACCCCAAAAACAAAACAATGTTACGCAAAAAATAGACTAAAACAGAAAGGAGCAAAAATAGGAAAACAGAACAACTATTAATCAAAAAATAACGTATAGGCAAGAAATAAAGTTGAGACATTGTAGTATTAATGAGTTTGCTAACAATTGCATAAACTAAAATGATTTAAAAATTAATAGGATCATTATTATGTAACAAATAATAGTAAAACTACAAATTTTACAAAATTTGGAAATAAAAAAGGAAATTTTCCTCAAAATTACTGATAAATATTGGGGTAATTTGTTGTTTTTGCTCTTCTGTTAACGCGTTATGTTCATCTTCCATTTCCGCTGGAAGGATTATAAACTCTACCCCTAATTTTTTTGCGCCCATTAACTTTGGAATAAGGCCGCCGACTTTGTGCACAGTGCCATCGACCCAAATCTCACCCATGGGATCAAAATTTGCAAAAGCAATTTAAATTTAAAAGGCATGTTAGAATTATTGACAAAAAATCACTTAAGTAAACACTTAAACCGGGATCACTTCATCAGGTCAACTCCCAAGAGGACAACAACTTAGTGGCCACCCTTGAGTCAACTTTCAATCAGGCGCTGAATAATTTTAAAATTTCAGCAATTTGAGGGATTAAGGGGTATTTGGAAGGATCTGGAAGATCTGGGGATAATTTCGATTAAATAAACGGATCATTAAGCTCATTAAATTAGAGAAAATTAGAGAAAATTATTGGTGGGTTGCTGGGAAAAGGATAGGCAAAATTTCAGTGAGATTTTTAATGAAATGAGGCGTAATATCTTGTTTTTGTTCTTTGGTTAAATTGTTATATTCCTCCTCCATCTCTTTCGGGAGGATAATGAAATCAACCCCGATTTCTTTAGCAGCCATTAATTTGGGAATTAATCCGCCAACCTTATGGACCGAGCCATCTGCCCAAATTTATTATAGTATACTACGTTGTAAATAAGTAAAAGATAATGAGGTAGTTGGTAGTTGGCGGATTAATTCCCAAATTAATGGCTGCCAAAGAAATCGGGGTTGATTTCATTATCCTCCCGAAAGAGATGGAGGAGGAATATAACAATTTAACCAAAGAACAAAAACAAGACATTAAAAATCTCACTGAAATTTTGCCTATCCTTTTCCCAGCAACCCACCAATAATTTTCTCTAAAAAAGTGGGTGCAATCTGGAATTATACATACCTAAATAAAAAGTGTTTATATATAAATATTTAATGAGCTTAATAATCCGTTTATTTAATCGAAATTATCCCCAGATCTTCCAGATCCTTCCAAATGCCCCTTAATCCCTCAAATTGCTGAAATTTTAAAATTATTCAGCGCCTGATTGAAAGTTGACTCAAGGGTGGCCACTAAGTTGTTGTCCTCTTGGGAGTTGACCTGATGGAGTGATCCCGGTTTAAGTTGTTTACTTAAGTGATTTTTTGTCAATAATTCTAACATGCCTTTTAAATTTAAATTGCTTTTGCAAATTTTGATGCCATGGGTGAGATTTGGGTCGATGGCACTGTGCACAAAGTCGGCGGCCTTATCCCAAAATTAATGGGAGCAAAAAAATTAGGGGTAGAGTTTATAATCCTTCCAGCGGAAATGGAAGATGAACATAACGCGTTAACAGAAGAGCAAAAACAACAAATTATTCCAATATTTATCAGTAATTTTGAGGAAAATTTCCTTTTTTATTTCCAAATTTTGTAAAATTTGTAGTTTTACTATTATTTGTTACAGAATAATGATCCTATTAATTTTTAAATCATTTTAGTTTATGCAATTGTTAGCAAACTCATTAATACTACAATGTCTCAACTTTATTTCTTGCCTATACGTTATTTTTTGATAAATAGTTGTTCTGTTTTCCTATTTTTGCTCCTTTCTGTTTTAGTCTATTTTTTGCGTAACATTGTTTTGTTTTTGGGGTTTAACTTTTATCTCTTAAATCTTTCCGTAAAATGGAGTTGAATTTAAGTTAATATAAATTTTGATCGTATTTTTCTTATTTTTGGCCTCGGACTCATACTAAACATAGGCTTAAGTATTTACTAGAAACAAAACCTTGTAATGTACCTACTAATATAGTGTCCACTCTAGTCCAATTCCCAATAAAAAATCTTCAATTTAAATTAATTTACTTTGTTGACTGCGCGCTTATTTTTAATACTTATTGTTAGGTGACTTATAAAAATGTTTTTCCAAAATACCAAAAAAAACTTTACGGAACCCAAAGCAAACATTGAAAACATGTAATTTAGGGAAAATTTTTTCTTATAGAGCTTGGGTTTTCTATAATTTTTAAACCAGGTGTCCCGAACTTATAACACAAGGACGGAACAAGCAAACATTAAAAACCTGAAACAAATTTATGAGACACTTATTCTGCACTAGAGACTTGTCTTTTTTTAGTAATTTGTTTATAAAACTAAAAAAAGGATATCTAATTTGACACAAAAAATTTTCTCTCTCCCCATTATCTCGTTTTAAAAGGATTCTATAAATATTTTACCCCATATCAAAGATGTGATTTTTGGACGAAAATTCTTCTGTTTAAAACATGAAAAAGAAAAATCGCATCTTTTTAAAAGTCAAATTTTTTTGCTTATTTTACACTATCGAAAAAGTGAATGTATAAATATTTGTGTATGTATCACTTCTATCTTATGAGATGAAAATTTAACTCGACTACTTTTTTAATGAAAAATTTTAAGGAAAAATGCTTTTTAAAAAAATGTCTTGTGCTCTGTATATTTTTTAATGGTGTGTAAAAAAATAATTAAAATTATTTACGGTCGGACCTCGCTTTTTAGATACCTTCTCGGAGCTGAAAAAAGTCCCTTATATTGAGGTGTTAATTAAATGGAGGGGTTGATTAATTATCCTAAATTAATGTTATCTTAGAGGGAATCTTATAATAAGATTTTATAACGAGCTGTATCTTAAATAGGGGGTAGCTTATAATGAGGTGTCTATTAAATAGAGGGTAACAATTAGTCCGTTTTCTCGCACCCAGTGGCCAACCAACCGACCCAGTGGCCAACCAAATTTTAGAAAACGTATCTTAAATTGAGGGGATCTTGTATTGGGGGGGGGGTGTGGTATCTATAAGTGAGGTTCGACTGTGTTTATGTTTGAACGGAAAAATAAAAGAAATTTTTTAAAATTAATTTTTGTTTTTTGAAAATCATCTCACACCATTCACAAATTATAAATATTTGTTCATGATAACTTTTCCAGTATTTACAAAAAAATTTATTTTAGTCGCACTATATACTTGTAGTCGCACTTTTCCTTTCCTTTATGCTCGCAAAAATCCGCAAATTTTAATATTAATAACTTGTGGACAAAACTTGCGGACTTTTTTTAACTTGCGGACATTCTTTGGAATTTGCGGACTTTTTAATTTGCGCATTTTTTTGCATTTGCGGATTTTTAGGAGGATAAAGGAAAGGAACCCCTGACTTTTCTTTTACCGATGTTTAATTTCTTTAAAAATTTACTGGAATAAAATTGACACCCTTGCATGTTTTTTGATTATTTCAAATTAGATTAGAAAAATCTGTTGATTATTTTTTAAGTAATTTTTTTTTGAAAAAATTTTCTTTTCTAATTAATAGCCCTTGTCAACAATTAAATATGACAGCAATACCTTCAACAATTTATAGGGCTCTATGTCGTCTTGGGGACAAAGTTGGTTTTGTTTTTTTTTGTTAGATTTTCTGCGGTGAGGTGTGTCTAATCCAATTCTAGGTTTACGAACCTTGTCTCAAGGTTTTAACGTCAATAGTGTTTAAACCTCTAGGTTCGGAGATAAATAGTAAAATAGTCCATTGAGGAGAGTCCACCCCTAAAGGTTAAATGGCCATAAAAGTCAATTCCAAATATTTGGGCTTATAAAAGGAACTCAAGATAAGGAAGGCTTTGGCTCCCTCCCTTTTAAATACCCTTCTAAGCGAGAGTCTCCTTATCCAAATGAATCAATTTTAATCCCAAATATTAGGAGTTGACCTTTAGGGTAATTTAATCTTTTGGGGTGGACCCTTCATCGAGGTGCATTTAATCTTGAGGGTATCTTGAGGTTAAAACAAACTAATATTCTTTTCTTATCATTTTTATCATATTTCAGCTAATTTATCCAATTTTGCCCAGCTTTGCCAAGCCAGCATGGAATCACCCTGCCGGACCCAAAACAGTTTTCTTTTGGTCCCCAACAATTAAATGGGTACTTGTAGGCGCTGGAATATCTGATTTGACTAGACCTGCCTCGAAATTGAGTATTAATCAGGTTTGGAATTTTAGTGCTTTTGAAAGGTTTACGCGTCCCATAAAATTTGTATTTTAGAATTTCTGTGGTTTTTCAAGGTTAGGATAAGGTTCCTTAACGTTGTCAGGTAGGGTTGTCGGTTCTGGACCGAACCGATGATTTTTCGGTTCGGATCCGGATATTCGAAAATTTCGGTGCGGTTCTGGATATCCTAAGATTTTCCAAGAACCGACAACTCTATTGTCAGGTTTGGAAACTTACAGTCAGTTGACTTGGACCATAGGTTAATTAATTTTGGGAATTTTGGAGAGGTTGCTAAAATTCTTGAAAATTGACCAAGTTAATAATAATTGCTAGCAGATGGTCCAAGCCAACTGTCCGTCGATTCCAAGTATGGATCTGGTCGACTCGAATTACGAGAATCAAGGATTCCTGGATAGGGAATCGTATACCCAAAATTTAGAATTTTTTTTGTCGAATAAATCCCTGGTTCCAATTTCCAAAAAAAACTATAAAGGAACCCAGCCTACTTTTACTATTGAGTTTTGGGATCGTTTATTTGCTTTACTTTTTTGTTTGTTCCAATGGACCCCTTAAATGTAAATTGGATGGAAGAAAAGGAAACAATCCAATCAAGAAATGGATAGATGGTCCCAGGCTTAATGACTGATAGTCCCAAGTATTCGAGACGGGTTCCTTCAAAACTTTGAAGGGAACCTAGCTTCGAATAAGATCCCCTCAAAAACCACAGAAATTCTAATATGCAACTCTATGAGATGCATAAACTGGACTAGAACCTTTTTTTTTAAATTTTCCATTTAAAATTAGAATGCCTCATTAGCCGCAACAGGCGCTGTTTGGACACGTTATTGTTTTGTAATTGTTCCAAAAAATTATTATTTGGCTAGCGTAAACTTTTTTGTTTTTTGCACGGGAATGGGTATTTTTAAAAAAATTTTTTAAATTTCAAAAAAAAATTTTTTCAGTTCAAATACTTCGTATTGGACATTATCGGTATATAATACAGCCAAAATTAGAAGAAAATGAGGAGTTGAAGAAAGTTTCAAATTAAGGGTTTTGAATAAATATTAGTTAATTTCACTATAAGACACCTCCAAGGGATTGAAAAATGAGTGCCTTATAATGGGGGTTTGTTAAATTGGGGGTATCGCCTATTTGTGAGGCACCCAGTAGCTAACCAAAAAATAGAGGTATTTTATAGTGAAGTTTGAGATTTTATAAATAAAGAATATTTATTAGATTTACCTATATATTTTTCTAGACTTTGCTTATACAAAAGTTGTGATTATATTTGTTTATGTTAATTAATCACTGAAAAGGGACTGTGAGGAGCAGGGATGGACACAATTGCGGATTGCGTTAATTAGTGTTTTTTTGACTTGCGGATTTTAAAATTAAAATTGCGGGATGAGGAAAAAATTTTTCATTTGGAAGTTCACAAAAGTTGGGATTTTGAGAAGACAAACAAAACTTTGTTTTAAGTCATTCCCCCTTTGGATATGCCTCCTTCGAAATTAAATAATGTTCGTCAAAACCTTATGGACTAAAAAAATAAAGAGATTCTAAGAAGTTTAAGAATTAATCAGAAAATTTCCAGCCATTTTTTGAGATTTTACTGACATAAAAATAATTTTTAAAAATAAACTACTAAAAAATCGGGTGAGTGATTCTTTTTGGACCATACAGCTAGTGGTCTTGATTAGTTCTATAAATTGTATGCCTAAAAATTCTATTCTAAAAATTTTTGTTCTAAACGAAATGGACGGTATTTTAACTTACAATTAGTGGGTGGACATTATTCTGGTCGGACGGTGAATTGTCCCGGACACGAAAAAATCAGCTTAAAATACTCAAAAACATTAAAAAGCTCAAGAATTTTTTTCATTATTTATAAATAAAAATTTTTAAAGGCGTAACAATAATTAAAATTGTTTAAAAAAATAAACTAAACAAACAAAATAAAATCTTCCCTTCTATTTCCCATGCATTTTCTGTGCTGTAGCCGCTAAACTTTGCTGTTGTTGTTGCTGTGCTTTGTCGTCCTGTTGAGTCATTTGCATAAGTAATTTTCCCAGTCGATCGTGAACATCCAAATATTTGGCTAAACAACGGTCGAGACAGACTGCTTCGCCTTTAGAAAAATTTTTTTTAGAAAAATTTTTATTTTAGGAGTGTTTTTTAATTTTTGCGGACAGTCCGCAATTTTTGTCCGCAAAATTTTTCCGCAATTTCCGATCAAAAGGATTATTTTAGATAATTTAATCTCATTGTACATCATTTTCAAGTTATGTAACGTCAGATTTTGTTGTTAAAAATGCAAAAAAATTATTTTGATTTGCGGAGAAAAGTTGCGGATTTTGTCGTATAATTAATTACTTTTAGAATTAGTCACCTTTTTTGGTTGGGACTTGAAACTATTGAGTTTTGGGGGTCTTTATTTGCTTATTTTTTACTTCTTTTTGTTTTTACAATGGTTCTCTTAAATGTAAATTGGATGGAAGAAACGGAAACTATCCAAGCAAGCAATGGATAGAAATGAATGGATGTTCCCAGACTCAATGACTGATGACCCCAAGTAGGGTTGTCGGTTTAACCAAATTCTTCGGTTAACCGAACCGACAAACTGAAGCGAAAATCTTCGGTTCGATATGAAACCGACTTTGTTTTTCGGTTTGGAAAAGACACCCCAGTCCCAAGCCCAAAAGACGCTACAGAATTCGAAAGCGACAACAGACCCCAATAAACAAAATAAAAAATGAGTCTCTTAAATGGGGGTCCATAGAAAAAGTTTCTCGATTTGGTTTGAAACCGATAACTCTAGCCCCAAGCCCAAAAGACGTTCGAAAGCGAAGCAAACCAAAGAATAAATAAAATACAAAAATGAGGCACGGAGAATGGGGTCCATAAAAAAGCTTTGAAACCCCAGAAAATAAATTTATTAAAAAACCTTTCAAAAGTTCAGATTCTCGATACGAAGTATTTATACATTTTGATTGACAACTTTGAGTCATTCTTCTATATGTGTCTGTCATCATTTCAATTTCCAAGTCGGCAACTGCTTGTAAAGCTTGTGCTTGAGGAGAATTTTTGTTGTTACTGGCCATTTTGTTGGAAAATTTTTTAATTTAAAGAATTTTTTAGAATATTCTTAAAAAAATAAAAGATTTTAAAGGAAAAAAAGAATTTTTTAAATTGATTGAACTTAGAAATTATTAAAAATTAATTTTAAAAAATCTAGATGAAATTTTCATCAATCAAAAGACTATGACGAAATGGTCAATTTTCTTCTGTGTGACGAAATGGTCAATTTTCTTCTGTGTGACGAAATGGTCATTTTCTTCTGTGTGACCAAATGGCCTATTTTCTCCTGTGGGACCAAATGGTCAATCTCTTCTGTGTGACCAAATGGTCAATTTTCTTCTGTAGGACCAAATGGTCAATTTTCTTCTGTGGGACCAAATGGTCAATTTTCTCCTGTGGGACCAAATGGTCAATTTTCTCCTGTGGGACCAAATGGTCAATTTTCTTCTGTGGGACCAAATGGTCAATTTTCTCCTGTGTGACCAAATGTGTTTTTTACTGAAAATTTTCTTTTCAAGTCCTTTTTTGGACTTGTTTGAATTTCTTAATCTTATTTAGACTGTTAAAAAAATTGAAATAGGACCTACATTTATTTCTCAATTTTTCCTTCAGTCATTTTATCTTTATTTCAAAAATCACAAAGCCGAAAAACACATTTTTCTACCCATTTTTCTTCATTTTTGGGCGCGCTTGGGTTTGCAAAGAAATTTTATTTGTGTTTTAGGGGTTAGCACGGACAAAGAACTATGTGTAGCACTAACATTCCCTCAAATTTATTGTTCACCATCCAAAGAACGCGGGCTCTGTTTTATTTAAAATTTGTTATAAAGCCAACTACTTTTCTGTTTGGGGGAATGACCAAACTATTTATTTGTGTTTTATTCATTTGTTTAACGTTTTCGCAGAAGGGAAATCGTTAAATAAATATTTTAGGAAAGGATTTTCCTTCCCAAAAATGAAAAAATTTGTTTGGAATTTTTGTTAAAAATTTTTAAAAATTTTTTGAGACCCCCAAAGTTGGGTAGGGGAGGGGCAAAACACCGTCCGGCTAATTCAACGTCCTGAGGATTGATTTAAGCGAAATGGGCATTATTTTCTCTAATGGACGGTATTTTTACTTTAGTTAAGCTGGACGCTGTTTTGTCCTGACCCACTTTGCCCACAACAGAAAAAGACCTTTTTGGTTAAGTGGGATAATTCTTAGATTTATAGTCAGAGGTTCGAATCCCCGTAAGGAAAATAATTTTATTTGAACACATATTAGTGATTCCTATTTAATTAAAAGTTCGGACGTTCTTGGGGTTGTAAAGAAATTATTTTTGGAGACTTCGCAAAAATTCGCCGACAGACTTTTCACCGATAGAATTCGACGAAAAGTACGTCGGCGAATTGTTCCCCATTTTTATCAATTTAATCATTTTTTTCTAAATTTTAGATTTAACAAGAACCAAGAATGGGTCCAGAATTTAACCATAATACTACTAATGGTAACTCTACTACTCAACAACTAAACGATCAACGATACGTAATTAAAAGGGATGGGCGTCATGAAGCAGTACATCCAGGCAAAATTTTTTCTCGCGTTGCAAAGCTATGTTATGGACTTGATATGTGCTATATTAATCCGGTTAGAACTTTTTGTATTTTTACTACATAGGGAAAAGGCCAGGTTGTCCGCAGTTGTGGAAAATTGGCTTGGGGCCAAATACGGAGAAAATGGGGTCCAAATTGAAGGAAGCGATGAACGCTTCAAGCTTGAGTACATGGGAAGAGTCAGTAGGTGGGAAAAGTCCGCAAGTAGGAAAAGTCCGCAAGTTTTGTCCGCAAATCGAGTGGAATTGGCTAGGAGCCCAATTGAAGGAAAATTAGCTGAGGGAAAGAGAAAGTATAGTAATGAATGCTTTGAGCCCTACAACATTATGGAGCAGTACATCCAGGCAACGGTGAGGCATCCAATTATGCAATATTTGTTGCGGACAAAACTTGCAGACAAGTTTCTAAATTTGGATAAAGTCAATCCCTGTTAATCTATTTTTTAATAATTTTGGCTACCACAAGCCAGGGGTCTCACTTATTGATAAACTTTCAATAAACCCTTGGGACTGAAGGAAGGTGCTACCCCCGCGGTCTTTTTCCTTCATTTCCTTTTCCTTCATTTCCTTTGGGTCTCTTATTCAAAATTCTCCAAAACGTAATTTAATCTGACCTCATTTCAAAGGATTTGATCACAGAAAAGGCGTCCAGAGGCATTTATACTGGAGTAACAACTGTTGAATTGGATAATTTGGCGGCTGAAGTGGCTGCTTCAAATACTACAGTTCACCCAGATTATGCTTTGCTTGCTGCCAGAATTGCTGTTTCAAATCTGCACAAAGAAACGAAAAAGGTTTATAAATTTTAAAGATATTTTAGAAAAATTTTGGGGAAAGTTTCTGGAAGGTTTTCTGGTTTTTTACCCAGAAAAACCGCTATTTCTCTCCTTATGTTCACAAAAGTCCGCAAGTTTTGTCCGCAAGTTGTACTATGTTTTGCGGACAAAACTTGCGGACTTTATAAGAATACTGATTATTCCTTTAGGTTTTCTCAGACGTGGTCAGTGATCTCTACCATCATAAACACTCAAAAAACGGAGAACATTTGCCATTGGTTAGCGAAGAGCTTTACAAAACTGTTACTGCAAATAAAGAGGTTTTTTAATTTAAAATTTTTCGGGTTCTGCTTTTCCTTTACAAAAAGAAATAAAAGGGGGTTGTTAAATATGTACAAGGTTCGCTTTGGATGTGTTTAAGACTTTGGTAATCTCCTTTGATCCAGAGTCAAGGAATTATCAGGGTTTCTTGATTTTTTACTTGACTCATGGTCAAGGATCTGGTCGCATTTTTTAGTTTCCTATCTAGTAACCTGTAAACTGGTTCCTATCTCTCTTTTTCAAATCGAATTTCGTACCGAAAAAGTCCAGATTTAGGGTTTCTTGTCAGTTAGAGAGATTAAGGAGGGGGAAAAGGTGACTCGGTTTTTGAAAAATTTCTGGGGTCAAGTTCGGATTTAGGGTCGAGAAAAGGTCCGGATTTCGGATATCGATTAACCATTGACATCCCTAGTATGCATATGTTCTACAATTTATTTATTTTCAGAAACTCAATTCAGTAATTATTTATGATCGTGATTTTCACTACACTTATTTTGGCTTTAAAACACTTGAACGATCTTACCTTTTGCGAATCAATGGAAAAGTAGTTGAGAGGCCACAGCATATGTTGATGCGTGTTGCTGTTGGAATACACAAAACTGACATTGAGGCTGCAATAAATGTTTATTTTTTAAGTTATTTTTATGGAGGATTTTGGGGGTCCGGAATTTTGGTCTTTGGATTTTTTTTGGAAACTTTGGTTTCCAAATTCTCAAATCGTTTATCCCATCGGTGTTTTTTCATGTCCTTTCCATTCTGTGGGACAGAGACCAAATTTCTAAAATTTGGAGATAAAAAATTCAGGGATTCGTTGGGGCTCTCATACCCGTTCCTGTTTGAGAGAGCTGTCAAGACCTACAATTATTTTAAAGTTTTTGGTCCTTGTAGGTAGTATTGAAGCTCGGAAAATTTTTCGGTTTTCGAACAGCTCTAGGCAATAAATTCTGAAAAATATTTATTTTTTAAAGACTTACAATCTCATGGGCGAGCGTTGGTTTACTCACGCCTCTCCAACTTTATTCAACGCGGGTACAAAACGTCCACAACTTTCTTCTTGTTTTTTGCTTTCAATGGTTGGTGATTCAATTGAAGGAATTTTTGAAACAATAAATCGTTGTGCTTATATCTCAAAATCGGCTGGAGGAATTGGGCTTTCCATTCATTCAATTCGTGCTTCGGGTTCTTTGATCTCTGGAACAAATGGAAATTCGAATGGAATTATTCCAATGTTGCAAGTTTTTAATTCTGTGGCGCGTTATATTGATCAGGGAGGGAATAAGGTTAGTAAAAAAAGAATAGAGGGTATGATTAGGGTTGCCGTTTTTGAGTCGGGCCGCCGGTCGAGTCATTTTTTCGAGCCTTGTTTTTATCGAGTCTGGACGTACGAGTCATTTTTTCGGGCTAAACAATAGGCCCGACTTGATTTTTAGGTCAGAGTCGCTCCATTTTGGCAACCCTAGTGATGATTATAGTCGGATCTCGCTATAAGATACTCTCAATACTAGGCAACAATTTAGCCTCGTTTTTATCGAGTCTGGACGTACGAGTCTTTTTCGGGCCAAATATCATAGCCCCGGCTTATCTTTCGGTCAGAGTACTCCATTTTGTTACTAGGCACACAATTTAGGACACGCTATTGGGAGTTGAGGATACGCTATTGGGTTGGCTATTGGGAGGTGAGGGTCTGAGGGATACCTTCCTTCTATTTGAGATTCACCTCAACTATATGATACAATTTTTGACCCAAATTGTGTATCTTTTAGTGAGGCCCTACTTGTTTTATGTCTCAAAATCAACTGGAGGAATTAGACTTTCCATTCATTTATTGCTTTGAATGAAGAAAGTCTACTCCCTCCAATTGATTCAGGGCATCACTCTCTTTCTAAATTGTAGGAAAATTTTTTTTCTGAAAGCTAAACTGGGTTAAATTTATTTTTAAATGGATAGAAGGGGGTAGAGAGTAGCTTAAGTCTTTTTTGAAATTAATCCTTTAAACAAGAAATTTAATGGAATGAATGAAAGGAGTATGATTTATCTTCCTATATAAGAGTTGTTTTTTATGTTAGCTAAAGCCTCGTTCCAACTGGCAACAAAAAAAATAACTTTTAACCCCGCCTACTTCCCGCTTTTAAGTTTTTTTTATTAGGGTGAATCAAAACACACTGCTTGTTAAGTAGAAAAAGGGTAGAGGAAGAAGATTGGTAGGGGGAAGAGGAAGTGTCGAAAGAATGGGGGGAAGAGGTTGGGAGGGGAGGGGGTGTAGTGTTGTTTATTGTTGCAAAAAATGACAAAGAATAATTATTATTTTTTGCGGACATTTTTTGCGGATTTTTCCTTTGTTTTTTCTTTAGGTTTTTAGTGGAATGGACAGTTAAAACTAGGGTTCGATCTTATGGTCCGGGGCTAGGCTTACGGGGAACTACTATTCAAATAGATTTTGTATTGATTACCATTTTTGTTGTGAAAAAAGTTCTAAAATTTTGTCCGCAAAATTTTTTTTGTCCGCAAAAAATTTTTTTGTCCGCAATTTTTGGTATTCAACTTTGTGTCCGCAAAAATTGTCTGCAAAAATATAAATTTCTTTACAAATGTCAAAATAAATTTTTAACTAATGGAAACAGAATATTACTTTTAAAAATATAATATATTTTTTATTAAGCGTCCCGGTGCTTATGCAATTTACTTGGAGCCTTGGCATGCAGATATTGAGGATTTCTTAAAGTTGCGTCTCAACACTGGTGCGGAAGAGCACAAAGCAAGGGATTTGTTTTATGGACTTTGGATTCCGGATCTGTAAGAAAATTTTGAATATTTTTTTAATTTAATTTTTTTTTAGTTTTATGAAGCGCGTGAGAGATGATGACATTTGGTCTTTAATGTGTCCGAATGAGTGCCCTAACTTGGATGAGTGTTGGGGAGAGGAATTTGAACAGCTTTATCAAAGGTTTTTATTTTGTTAGAGGAGACTGTGTGTTTTCCTTTATGTTTCTAAATGCCCGCAAGTTTTGTCCGCAAATATTTTATTTTATCTTAAGAAGGATTTGGGGCTAAACAAATGAGGACTTGTTAATAACTCACCGAATTTGGAACAGCCTTCTCTTCTCTCTCCGTTGATAGTTTAAAAATCCTATAGGTGGGAAGAGGAATATTGCCAGAAGAGATTTTGGGTAATACCTGGCGGGATCTTTTGGAACTTTTCCAGACGTCCCGTCGAGGTCATTCGAGATCATTTTTGGCGTGCAGATAAAACTTACGGATTTTTGGGAACACAAAGGGAAGAAAAACCTCAACGATTCCTTTGGTTCTACTTGACTTTATGAGTCCAATCGAATTTTATGAGTCCAATCGAACTTTCTGAGTCCAATCAAAATTTATGAGTCCAAATAAAACTTTATGAGTCCAATCAAAGTTTATGAGTCCAAACAAAACTTTATGAGTCCAATCCAGACCTGCTCACGGATACGGATAATATCCGGATACCCGCGGATATCCGCGGATACGGATGGATATGGATAGTGTTTTTAAAAAAATTGGACGGATACGGATGGATACGGATATGATGCTTAAAATCCGCGGATATCCATCTCAAAATTCTAGCCTGCGGTGCAAAGAAAGTGAATTTTTTTCGCTTTCGGCCTTTCAAAATTTTTAAAATTTTCGCCTGCGGCGCTAAAAAAGAAAGAAATCTGGCTTTTAAATAATTGAAATTCTCAAATTTGCGCCTGCGGCGCTAGAATAAAAAACTCTGGTTTCTTAGCCTTCCAGCTTAAAAATTACCATCTACGACGCTCCGATGTGCCTACCCACTTAAGGTACAAGTACAAGTTCAGTCCAAATTCAGTGGTGAGTACAAGAAAAATTTAGTTGAGCAAACGAAAGTTTTCAGAGGGTTATGAAGGAATTCCCCCACCCACTCCCGAATTGGGAAAAAGGAAAAAATTTGGTGAGGGGATTGGGCAAAAAAGTGAATTTTTTGGCCTACGCCCTTCTAAAATTTTCAAAATTTTATTTTTTTTCGGTATAATCCCTGATAGGCAGCGTAGGGTCGGAATTGCTATCTCTGCCTTCCGATTTTCGAACCTCCGATGTTCATAAGCAAGGTTAGTTCTGCTGCATCCAGTTATTACCTCATTATCTAACCATTACTCGAATTTAAATAACTTTGACCATTTTGAAAATTCTAGCGAGGCTGACCATTTTGAGAAAAAACGGATATATCCGCGGATATCCGCGGATGGATATGCCTAAAAAGTTGGACGGATACAAACGGATACGGATATGGACCTCACGGATATATCCGGATACGGATAGCAAAATCCGTATCCATGAGCAGGTCTGGTCCAATCACATTTTATTAGATTTTATTAAATAATACATTTATTAAATAATACAATAAAAATGAATAGGGTTATGTTGTTTTGTGTTGTTGGGGTTTTGCGGCACGCGCCTCGCGGGAGTCAACGGTCGCTGGGTTCTGGGTCGGCAACATAAACCTATCCCTTTTTCATCACCAGCTTTGATCTGACGACCTACCCCCGTAGCTCACAAAAATCTGATTGGACTCATAAACTGTGAATGGAATCATAAACTGTAGTAGAACCACAATTTTTACTTAGAATAATAAGACATGTCGGATTTATAAAATTTGTTTGGACTCATAAATTTTGATTGGACTCATAAAGTTTTGTTTGGACTCATAAATCTTGATTGGACTCATAAAGTTTTATTTGGACTCATAAAGTTCGATTGGACTCATAAACTTCGATTGGACTCATAAAGTTCGATTGGACTCATAAAGTCAAGTAGAACCATTCCTTTTTCAATGATTCAATTCCTTTACCAGATATGAGGAAGAAAAGCGTTACAAACGTCAAATAAAGGCACGTGAACTTTGGAGTCGTATAATCACCGCTCAAATAGAAACTGGAATTCCATATATGGTCTACAAAGATGCTTGTAACAGTAAATCAAACCAAAAAAATTTGGGAACAATTAAATGCTCAAATCTTTGTACTGAAATTGTTGAATATACTTCGCCTGAAGAAGTTTCTGTCTGCAATTTGGCTTCAATTGCGTTGCCGCGTTTTGTGGTAGTTGATGATGGTGGTTTGGAACAAAATGGTGTGGGAGAGGTTTGTACTTAAATTTTATGAGCTTTAGTCAAGTTTATGAGTCCAATGGTCTTATTTGGGTTCTAAAATTGGGTTTAGGGTCGGTACCTTATGGACATCCCACCACCCCTAATTTGCTTGAGATGCTTAAAATTTTAGAAAGTCCGGTTTATTGAACCCCATTTCCAGGTTGGATTTTCTCTGGTTTCTAAAAATTAGGTCAGGATATGGTTAGAGGTTTTTCATATCTGAAACCGTTAAAAGCCCGCCCAAAGATTTTCGGTTCGGATATATGTTTCAGATCCTGATACCGCAGATCTCCCAGGAATCACAAACACCAGATTAGGGGTAAAGAACGTCCCAAACTCAACATTGAAACCCAAAGATTTTTACTTTAATTTTTAAAGGGAAGGACTTCAGCACCAAATACTCCACCAAGAAACAGCAGAAAAAGGCCAGCATGCGCTTTGGAAGAATCTAATGGAAATTCTACTTCAACTAGACAATCGCCACCATCATTACAACAAAAATTCAAATTTGATTTTGAACGTCTTAAAAACGTCACAAAAGTTATAACAAAAAATTTGAACAAAATAATTGATATTAATTATTATCCTGTCCCACAAGCTGAACGTTCAAATCTTCGACATCGTCCAATTGGAATTGGTGTACAGGTTTGAGTTTTTCTTTTTTTTGGTATAGTAGTGTTGTTTAAGAGCCCCTCATTTTTTATTTTGATTTATTCTTTGAAGAATTTCTGTGGAGTGATTGATAGTTGGCGGATCCTTGAACTTTGTATATCCGTAATCCGAATCGAAAATCTTATTAAAATTTGAAGGTTGTTATGTGAAGGGGATTTTTTTGTCCTGTAGCGAAGGGAGAGATGGAAATTTCGATTATCCGCCAACTCAAGTTCAAAAGAACCCTATAGAAATCGATCCCGACATGAGTCCATCTTTTGTCATATTGACTAAAACTGAAAAAAGCTTATTTAATTTGAATGCACAACAAAATAGACGGTCAAGCGACACTAAATGCTGTTTATTTTTTAATTAAATGAAATTTTTAATTTTTAAGGGTTTGGCCGATGCTTTTATTTTGATGCGTTTTCCTTTTGTTAGCGATCAAGCCAAAGAGTTAAACAAACAAATTTTTGAAACAATCTATTATGGTGCATTGGAAGCTTCTTGCGAGTTGGCTGAGCAATTTGGGCCATATGAGACTTATAAAGGTTCTCCAGTTGAGAAAGGAATTTTACAGTTTGATATGGTTTGTAAATTTATTTTTGGTATAGGTGTAAGGAAGAGTTTGTGGTTTTTTGCGGATAAATTTTTGAGGGGTTTTCTTTTGGAATACAGGGGATCAGGGACATTTCGGAACTCAGGGGCATTTTTTGTTTTTGTTTCTCTTGTATTGTCAATAGTAAATATTAGGGATGGGTTATTTCCGATTCCTCAAATTCCACTTTTTGACTTTTCCGCGTCTCCGTCTTCCGCTTTTTAAAATGTGATGTAAAAAATAAATTCTTGATTAACGGGAATCAGAATACAGGGGATCAGAGACATTTCGGGACTCAGGGGCATTTTTTGTTAGAATAACACAAGAAAAAGTATTTTCGACTGTCCAGTCTATTTTGTGGAGTTTTCTTTAACAACCAACAATCAAAATAAATCAAAAATTCACATTATTTTATCTTTTCCTAGTCCGCAAAAATAATCTTCAAAATACCAGTCTGCAAAAATACCAAATATTCTTTATAAATGCCAAATTGGGTCTTTACTAAAATTCAAAGAAATTTTTTATTTCAGTGGAATGTAACTCCAACTAATTTATGGGATTGGGATGCTTTGAGAAAAAGAATTGCAACATTTGGTGTCCGCAACAGTCTTTTAATTGCTCCAATGCCTACAGCTTCAACAGCACAAATTCTTGGTAACAACGAGTCTATTGAGCCTTACACATCGAATATTTATTGTCGTCGAGTTCTTTCTGGCGATTTTCAAGTTTGTTTTTTCAATTAAAATTTTTTGGTCCTAGACTTCAATGTAAGGGCTTGTTGACTTTCCGATTCTTTAAGTATTTTTTGAGTAAATCACAAGAAATATTACTAAAATTATTTTTTTGTGGCAAATCAAACATGTAGGAATTTTTAGTATTCATCTCATATATAATGCGAGTTGCGGATTGCGTTTGCGGATTTTAAAAAAATTGCGGATTGCGAGTTGCGGAATCTTTTTTTCCAATTGAGTGCAGCCCAGATCCAGAAGGCGTTGTAAATACCAAAGTTTCTGGTTCACCTCCCATTATAGCTCCTGAATGACTCTGTTATGCCCTTCTAAGTTCCTCGATTAAAAATTTCATTTAAAAAAAATTCAAGGTTGTCAACCCTCATTTAATGCGTGATTTAATCCAACTCGGTCTCTGGGATGACCAAATGAAGAATCGTTTAATATCTGATGGAGGTTCTGTCCAAAATATAGTTGGATTGCCAGAAGATATCAAAGCTTTATACAAAACTGTTTGGGAAATTCCACAACGTGAAATCATCAAAATGGCAGTCGATCGAGCTCCTTTTATCGACCAAAGTCAATCATTAAATTTACATATTGCTGATCCAACATATGCAAAAATTACCTCAATGCATTTCTTTGCTTGGGAGAATGGTTTGAAAACAGGGATGTATTATTTGCGTACACGGCCAGCTGTAAACGCTATTCAATTTACGGTCAATAAATTAGCTTTGAAAGAATCTTCATCAACTACTACAACAATAAGTTTGGAAGAAGAAATGTCGGATACTTTAGAAGAAGAAGGGGAAACAACAATGATTGTAACAACAAAGGGAGTTGTAAAAGAGCAAGTTCGACGTCAAGTTTTTGATGATAAACTTAATAAACAAAAACAACAAGAAGGAGGAAATGAAGAGGGAGGTTGTGGAGGAGGAGAACCAGAATGTTTAATGTGTTCTGGTTAAAAAAGGGTATTTTTGAAGAGGATTAGAGCTGAGCGAAAAAATGTAGTAAATTTGATTTCGTCTCGTGAAGGTGTGCGGACATATCGGGATTGGTGTAACAGAAATATTTTCTTGCGTGTTTACGTTTGTTCTAAAACATAAAAACTCTATTTCTCAAGAGGGCAATATACTATCCAGGACCCAGTGGCCGTAGGTCCCGAAATCAGTAGGGTAACTGTTCGTACATTGAAATATCCTGATATGTCCGTCAATTGAGAGATTTATTTTTCTCGTTTCGTTGGGAGCGAAAATTTTATTATTTTCGTTCAGCTCTGAGGGGTAGTGGATTTTGATTGTTTTGTGAGTGCTTGAATATTGTTGACAACAAACATTTGGTGTTGTAATTTATTTACGTATCTTTGATATTTTGCAAAACTTATTAACTGGCACGCCTCATTATATTTTCTCGCCTGTTTCTATTTATTTACCATTGAATTTATTTTTGGCTATTTATTAATTTTTGTTCTCTTTAACTTCTTTTTTTACTCAATAAAAAGTTTTTCGTTAATTAAAGTTTGAATATACTGACTGTTATAGTAGTAAACGTTTCTGGGCAATTAGGATGATTTCTTGAGTTATAGGGGTATCGTAGGATTATTCTACAGCGAGATTCGACTATATGGTGGAGGTATACTAAATAGGAGGGTAATAAGAGGGTATCACTCCGAACCAGAGGTGGGTCGGAACAGTCAGAGGTGTCGGAAAACGGAACTGGCTCAAAGGGTCGGAACTTGGAAATCAAAATTTTTTTCGGAAATCGGAAGGAAAAAAACGTCGGAAATCGGAATTCCGACCCACCTCTGCTCCAAACCAATGGCCATCAAAAAACTTCCAAACATTTTGATGTATCCGGAATTGAAGGTGTCTTAAGGTGGGATTCGATTGGATTAATTCATATAATTTGGAAATTTACAAATTAATTTCTAACCTCTTCTAAATTTTAAAACAGGTTTATGTTGGTCCTGCCGATATAAAAAATAAATTACGTTTAGTGATTCGGGACGGTAGGTTCCAAACAACCCATAATAGGATTTAAACAACCCATAATTTTTTTAAAAAATATAAAAGCAAAAATGTTTAATTATAAAATCGAAAGCTAAAATGTATGAGAAACAAAACAAAACTTTAGGGAATAAAATGAAAAGAAAATTAAGCAGATGATTAAGCCTATACACGTATAAATTTTAGAGTAAACTCTCACTAGGATACAAAAAAAGTAATACAAAATCATCGCAAAAATACAAACCGGAAAAATAAAAATAAATAACCGGCTTATTGATGAATGTCATTTCCTTTTTACCTCTATTTGCCTATTTCCTACCTCTTATTTAAGAACCCCGGATTATAAGATACCCTCTATTTAAGACACTTCATTATAAGATACCCTCTATTTAAGAACCCCGGATTATAAGATACCCTCTATTTAAGACACTCCATTATAAGATACCCTAATTATAATATACTCTTCATTACAAGTACTCCATATAAGATATCCCTCTATAAGATACCCTCTATTTAAGACACCCTTCACTATAAGGTAAAATTTCCAACATCGAGGGGTATCTAAAAATGAGGTTCAACTTTAACAAATCCCACCCAAAAATAATTAAAATATGAGGAAATGACATTCAAAAACAAAAATGTTGTTTTAGCTACTTTCCAAGTGCTTACAATTTTTTTTTTGATTTTAAAACCAGAAAAAGATTTATTAATTAATTTTTGACTAGACGGCATTGAAAGCACCCGGAAAATTAAAATAAAGCTTCTTAAAATTTAAAATACATTATTTAAATAAATTCTCTCAAATAAATGTGTTCGGAACATTAATGTTGCTACTAAAGAGAAAAATGCAGAAAGAGCCCCTAATGTATATGTAATCATTAATGAATAACCACTAGTTCTTTCATCTTCTGCTACCGATATTTTTGACCCATATTTATCTAGTAAATCTAATATTACTCCATTTGTCCAGCCAAAACCTTTCTATAAAATTAAAAAAATTTTTTCAGGTAATAGGGTGGTAAATATGGATCTGAAAAAGTTAGAATATCTGGAAATTTTCGGTTCAGATAGTGGTTCAGGATATCCAGGATCCTCCAATCCTAACCATAGACTTTTTAGATGGCCCTTTTATTTGACGGAATGTTTGTTAGTAGGGATGGGGTTTACGAATGGGTTTAAACCGATCACTAGGCTTTACCGATCTCTAACTTCCGATTATCTGTTAGACTAACCGAGTTTAAAAGAAAAAAGAGGTAAATCAGTTTTGAAAGCAACCTAGACCCATTGCTTCCACAACGAGGCGTGCCACGCTTCTAGGTACCAGACCTGGTCACGGATACTGACTTAGGTATCCGTATCCTGATATTTACGGGGATACAGGCGGATATCCGCAGGCATTTTGGTATTATCTGTATCCATGACCAAGTCTGTTAGGTACTATTGAAAGGTTAGAAAAGTAAAAAATCAAAACGATCGATTCGGACCCCGATTAAATACAAATCAACGCGTTAAAAAAATAAAATTACTTGAACTTCATATTCCCCACCACCTCCAGCACCACACTCCTCAGTTAATAATGAAGCATTATATTTTTCAAACATTGCATAAGTTGTGACCTTTAAATATTTACTTTCAAAATTTAAAAAATTCCTCTTAATTTACATAAGATTTATAATTAACAATTAGCCATTGTGTTGCCATATTTTCGGCAGCCTTCATTAACATTTGATCACCGCTAGTACGAAAGCCTTCAATTATCTAGAAAAAATTAAATTTAAAAAATTTTTCTCATTCAATATATTTTCAAAAAAAAGTTTCTTTTAAGAAAGTCAAAATTAAATTTAATCGGAATTTATTTTAACTTTTAACCTTTTTTAAATAAAAAGGTCAATATTTTCGTGTTTTTTCCAATTCCTTTTAACTTTTATATTCCAAGTTTAAAGCTCAAAAGTTTTTATAAGTTTTGCAAGCATATAAATTGATCAAAACCAAAATTAGGGTTCAAAATGTCCAATCCCTAATTTTCCAGTTTAGCACAAAAAATAGAGTTTATTCAGCTATGCTCACAAAGTCCGCAAGTCATATTTTCATTATTTCTCTATTTTCTTAAAAAATTAACCTAACATTTGGTTAATTGGTTAAATTTGGTTAAAATTTGGTTAAACGCAAAACATAGAGGAGTCGATGAATTTATGAGTATTTTTTTGATTTTATGCCACCAAAATAATTATATTATGTTTCTACTCATTTCATATCATTTAAGAAAATAGAAAAACAATAATCTGATTTGCGGATAAAGAACTCCAGAAAAATAAAAATTATTTACCATATGCACCATTGGAGGCCAAGCATTTTCCTTATCCCATTGTTGAACACTACTCATAGCTAACGATGTAGGTATTCCTTTAGTGAAGTTTAACACACCCTCTCTCTTAAATAAAAAATTATTTTCAATTTTTTATTCAAAAAAACCTTCAAATAATCATATATTCTAAAAGGAGTTGTTTCATCTTCATCATCGAAACATTTTGCATATAAAGGTAAAGCATTAGAAACATAATATGTTGCTGAATGTGCTGATCTTTCCAAATCAAAATCATACCTATAATAATTAAAAGTAAAGGACTATATTCAAAGCAGGGATGACAAAAATAATTTTTCTTCTTTTTATTCAAAGTTCTCTTAATATTTGAAGCTGATTCCCTTTTAGGGTTGCCGTTTTCGAGTCTGGCCGACGTTCGAGTCATTTTTTCGAGCCTCATTTTTATCGGGCCGGCCCGACCGAGTCTTTTTCGGGCCAAAATTCGATGCCCGACTCGATCTTTCAGACTGGACCGGGCCGGCAACGCTATTATTCCCTTTCTATGTATTTTCTAGAGATAAAGACTTCGACTCCGAACAAGTCGTGAAGCTGACAATGAGTCCTTGGAAAATCACGGATATACGGAACCGAACTAACAACCTTTTAGTATGTCAAATCTAATAACGAGTCTAGGTATGACTCGAGTAGCTTTGACTTCTACATAGGGAACAAACTCATCATAAATATGAAAGTCAAACAACAACTACTAACATGATTGAAAATACGAAAAGTTCACAAATTTCCTATTTGGTCTTCACATCAAGGCTGCACGCTTGCGGACTGCGTGATTTTTTGGACTTGCGGACTGCTGATTTTAAAAAGCAATTTGCGGACTGCGGAAAATATTTTTTTGATTGCGTGCAGCCCTGCTTCATCCATCTTTTTATCCCTTGACCCAAAACAAAATTAAAAATCAACAAAAAACAAACCAAATTCCATCAGTTTCATTCCAATGAAGTGTTTTCATTGCCAATTTCATTTTTTGATAACGAGCATAATATTCATTTTTTCGTTTAAAATCACCAAAAATTTCATAAAAAGAAGCCAAAATCCTCATATTAATGCACATAAAAGCATTTAAATCTACTGGAACTATTGATAGAGTTCTTATTGACTTGAAATCGTGCATGCTTGGCCCTTCTTGAGCAAACCATCGAGTACTAAAATCCCAACCAGTTTCGGCTGCTAAATTTATAAAATTGTTGAATAACAAGTTAAGAAGTAATTTTGAACCTTATGACATCCCTTTTTAGCTTTATCTCCTCATTTTCAATTTATATTAGCAACTAAATCAATAAAAAAAGGAGACAAATTTATTTTTAATTCTAACAGTTATTCAAGCCCCTTTACGGCAAATCTAGTTTATTTAAATAAAAAAATAAAAGATTGGATGGGCTCTGATTCTGAGAGCTCCCCGATGCAAGGTTGTTGTTAACCGATCAACCATTCCACCATAAACTGATCGTTTTTACTTTTGCCTTGTTTAAAAGTTGGGAGGAAACTTTGCCGGCCAGACAAAATTAAAGTTTTTCCATTTATGAATTGAAAATCAGAAACTTATGTTAATTTTTAAAATAGTTTCAAAATTAATTTAGTTGCCAAAAATAGATATGAGAGGATGAAAAGGGAAAAGAAGAGTCATAAGGGCCCAGTTCTAAAAAAAATAAAAAAATACCCGATGCCAAATTAGACCACATTTGTTCACGTTCTTCATCCGTATTCAATCCTTTCACCATTTCCATGTCTTCTCTATAGCTTTCGGGTCTCGGAAATCTTTAAAAAAAAATAATCCTAAAAACCCAAAAAAAATTCAAACTTCATTGCCGCCCGATATTGATAATATTGAAATAATTCTTCTTTCGTTTCCGGATCAAGAAAAGACCGTGCTCTATTTAAATTCCAAAAAGTTTGTTCTTTTTCAAGTGCGGGTAGAACCTTTTTAAAAATTTTTTAAGTGAAAAGAATTTAAGAAAACTTGTTGAACAAAATCAACATCACCAGTTGCTAGAAAATATTCATAAACCATTGGAGTGAGAAGTGGAGGTTGTGACCGACTCAAATAATAAACTCTCCCTCCATTAGGTACAAAACCATGACTGAAAAATGAAAAAAATATTTTTGAAAAGGTTAAATTTGACTTAGGCAGAAATATGCCCCAATTACAGAAAAGAGCAATCCTGACCCAAATTAGAGGCGATCGACAGAATATGGGGGCGAACAATGTACGAGACACGACCTGTCCTGTGACTCTAATAAAGAGGCTTAAACCTAACTAACTCTTATCTCAATTTTCTACTCTACTGACTTTGAACTCTTTGTTATATGTCGTTGAATGAGGAGCTGCCAAAAGGAGTTAAGAGGTGAATGACGGTTAGAATATTCACCTAATCTCTGTTTATGTCAGCATTTCACAATAACAAAGAGTTCAGAGTCAGTAAAATAGAAAATTGAGATAAGAATCTCACACAATTCTCGCACAAGACTATTAATCCGGTCTTCATTTTAATGGCTTAAACCTGATGGGAAACGGACCTTTCATTAAATGAGGATTAACAAATATCCTCTCGTGGAACCCTTTTCGTGATTAATTTAGTTGGCAAGGGTAAAAAAGTAAAATAGTGTATAAAAATGGAAAACCAGAGTTGAAAATAACCAAAAAAAAATCACAAAAAATTTTTTTAATTTCCCAAAAATTTTTTAAATAAATTTAAATTAGTTTTAAAAATACTTTTCCACCATGTAGATAAGGTTGAGAATCGTTCCTTTTGCTGTGTCATACATTTCAGAAAAAAGAAGTCCCTTCAATATCCAAAAAGAATCCCAATAATAAAATTCTTTAAAACGGCCACCAGGAATAATAAATGGATGGGGAACGTAAAGTAAAGAATAACGCTCTTGATGAAGACGAACATCGTCCTTTACCTTTAAAAAATTGTTAAAAAAATTTTTAAAGAAAAATTTAGAAAAAAACCCTTCTGCAAAGATCACGCCAAATTCGGTGCAAATGCAATGCCCAACGTCGAAGTTGATAATCGTCAATGTTGGTAAAACTTGAAAATATTCAAATTAATTACTTTTTGGAAAATTTGGGCAGGCTTGAATTTGGGCAACCTTCTTTTTTTTTTGGGCAACCTTCTTTTTGGGTAATTTGGGCAACCTTCTTTTTTTTTTTTGGGCAACCTTCTTTTTGGGTAATTTGGGCAACCTTCTTTTTCCAGTCTCCACAATTCGAGAGAGAAATCGAAAGAGAAGGAAAAAGGTGAGTCAATACTCTAAATTAGAGGTTGACGGTTTCACAACAGAGCCACAAACATAACGAAATTTTAGAACAACCAAAATAGAACCGAACAATTAACTGAAAATCTTTAGTTTTTCGGTTCAAATTAAAATTTTTGTGGGGATTTAAAAATCAGTGTTTCAAAAATTTGTTCTTAAAAATGCCAAAAACCATAATGGAATCAGTTAAATCTCCAAGAAAAATGGGTACTTATGCCGTTTCCCCACCCCAGTCCGCTTTTTACTTTTCGTACGAAATGATCAGTCATTTCTTCCTTGCATAATTTTAAATAATTCCCTGTAGAAAATTTTTTTTAATTATGAAAAGAAGAAATGACTGACTATTCCGTACAAAAAGTAAACAGCGGACAAGGGTGGGGAAACGGCATAAGAACCAAAAAATTAATAAGAAAATAAAAGGAAAACCTATTCGGAAAAGGCACCCAATCTTCAGGATATGTTTCTTGTAGTTCATGTCCAGGGGCATCAAAATGTGCTTCAACAAATGAGCTCAATATTTCGGCATCTTTGCTTCGTTCTCCCAATTCGTAAAAGGCACGAAGTGTTGCGACTTAAAAGAAAAATTTTTAAAAGGAATTTTGAAAGAAACCTGGATCCTGTTTAAGCGGCATATCTACAAAATATTTTGAATCAGAAAATAGTCTGGCATCCTGTACAGATTGAAGAATTGGACCATCACAATAAATTGAACTGAGCAATGAAACAACATAATAAAGCATTGAAGAGAAAATAATTTTTAAATTTAGAAACTCCTGAAATGAAAATTTGAAAAAGAACCCGAAAACCCGATCCGAAGAAAAAATTTTAAAACTCGACCCGATTTTCCTAACCCCTGACAGGTCAGGTCGGGGTAGTTCAACTCTCTTTTTTGAGATAAAAAATAAAATAAGATTATTCAAACTCATTTGTCAGTTAAGATATTTAAATAAACAAATATATTTAATAAAAAAATTAAAAAAAAATTATAGAATTTTATCAAATAAATAAAATAAAAATTATAAACCGGTCTGAAAAAATATTTTTTTTGTGCCAATTCTTCAAAATAAAAATTTCTCTTCAAGTAAACGGATTATTAAGCTCATTAGACACATTTATATAAACACTTTTTATTTGTGTATAATTCCAAATTGCAGCCTCTCCATTTTCACGTCCATACCCAGATTGATTAAAACCTCCAAACGGAACATGGGGATGTACATCATTGTAGGAATTAATGTAAATATTGCCAGCTTTCATTTTTGAAGCAAATAAATGAGCTTTTCTCAAATCTCTGAAAAATAAAAAAAAATTTAATAGAAAATTGAAAAATTTTTTAAGAGTCGTTTACAGACTTACAATCAGTTTTGCTTCTTGAAAAGGAACCACCCGAACTGTTAATTTTGTATTTGTCACGGGTATAAAAAAAATCGGAGATTGGGTTTTCGAAAATTTTTTCGGACCGGACAAGGAGGGGGGGGGCTTCTGGGGCTATAGCCCCCCCCGAAATGGGGAAAAGGGAAAAATTTGGGGAAGGCGTTGGGGAAAAAAGTGAATTTTTTTGGCCTACGGCCTTTGAATTTTAAAAAATTTTCGCCTGCGGCGCTGAAAAAGGAAGAAATCTGGCCTTTTGAGCTCCAGAATTCAAAAAATTTTTGCCTGCGGCGCAGAAAAGATGAAAATTTATGAACAAAAAATTTGCGTCCGGAACGCCAAGGTAAACGCCAAAAATTTGGCGCCCACCCAGTGTTAGCCCCCCCCGAAATCGACCCCCTGGCTACGCCCTTGGGACCGGATATCGAGTTTCAGACCGAAAATTTTCTACGGATTTCGGATAAAGTTCATGACCGGTATATGTCTGGGCACGCGACTTCTAATTCTACAGGGCTTGAAAAAGGAAAGATTACAGTCTGATTGTGAGTTTTATTTTTCTGAAAAATTTCCTGCACGGAAAGGCATCGTTCAACTCCCGCAAAATACGGGACTTTGACCTACTTGAGCAGATCCAGAAAAAAATATTAAAAATATAACCTTGTAAATATCCCACCAGCCAATCCAAATTCAGTATCATTTGCAATTTTTAAGGCTTCCTATTAAAATAAAAAATAAATTTCCTTCAAATATTTCAAAAAAAAAACCTCTTCACTGTCAAAAGGTATAATCAACATAACAGGTCCAAATATTTCTTCCTTGTAAACACGCATATCTGGGCGTATATCAGTCAAAATACAAGGAGAAAGGTAAAAGCCTCCTTCCAGACCTTAAATTGAAAAATTTTTTTTTGTCGAAAAAATTTTCGGAAAAAATTTTTTTTGAAAATTTTTCAGAAAATTTTCAAAATTTTTTTTTTCAACCCCCTCAAAAAAATTTTTTTTGAAAATTTTTAGGAAAATTTTCAAAAAAATTTTTTTTCAACTCAGACAAAAAATTTTTTTGAAAATTTTCTAAAAAAATTTTTAGGAAAAATTTTCAAAAAATTTTTTCAACCCCCTAAAAAATTTTCTAATCCCCAAAAAACCTTGAATATTTATTCTTTCTCCCCCAGTTAACAATTTTGCTCCTTCCTTCACTGCACCATCAATAAATGACTGAACTTTTTGTAAATGTTCCAAAGAAATGCAAGCACCAACATGGGTTTTGTCGTTAAGGGGGTCCTTTAAAAAATTTTTTTTTGTCAAAAATAGATAAATTAAAATTACTCCAATACGCAAATTTTCAGTTCTGTCAACCACAATTTTTGTAAATCCATCCAAAAGGCTTTTATGTACGAGAATTTTAGAAGCATTTGAACAAACTTGTCCTACAAATTTATTTTCAAATAAATTTTATGGTTAGTTGATATTTCTGAGAAAAAATAATTCTTATCCATTTTATGGTTCAGAGGCAGATTTATGACCAAAATTCTAGATTTTATTCTTTTTTTTTGGGGGGGGGGGGGTTTGGTTATTCTGTGTTTCAAAGTAAAGTTGGGTTTATTAAAATTTTCCGTTAGTTTATTGGTAAAGTTTAGTAAACTTAAAATTTCTTTAGAAAAACTGGTATAACTGCTCTAAAATAGGATCGGGTATTCAAAATATTCTTGTTATTAATCGAGTTTCAAAGTTCGTCCAAAAAAACAGGAGTTTCGAGTAACCAGCCCATCCCTGGTATAAACCAGCCAAAAGCCACATAATTATAAACGTTCTTAACAAAATTTTCTAAACAAAAAACCTTGACTCAAAAAATTAGCCAACATAGCACTATGAACAGCCACTTCCATTACTGCATCCTCCAAAACAATACAAGCACTTTTACCTCCCAGTTCCAAAGTTACAGGCTTTATGTTTTCACTAGCACAAGCTTTAGCAATTGCTTTCCCAGTCTCAACACTTCCCGTAAACGAGACTTTTCGGACCAAAGGAGACACGCAAAGGGCCGCTCCCGTTTCGGCTTCGCCTTGTAAAATATTGACAACGCCGTCTGGTAATCCGGCACATTGAAGGAGAAGTGCAAGCAGAACCTGAAAAAAGACGTTAAAAAATTTTTCAAAATAAAAAACATACGCTCGAGATAGGAGCTAATGGACTTGGTTTATAAACAATTGAATTACCACAAGCTATAGCTGGCGCTATTTTCCAAGAAGCTGTCTTTTAAAATAAAAATTTTTAGAAAAAAATTAAAAAGTAGTTGTCTGGATTTGACTAAATCCCGTATTGGATGTTCTGTTACATAATCCAGCGAGATAGTCAAATTTGACCTTTTTTTGAACCCAATCTAGTTACCGGAATATGGGATTAGGGGGAGGTTCCGAGTATTCGGAATCAGAAAAGATCGGGCATTCGGAGTTGGTTAACGGTTCCGGGTATCCGAAAATTACAAAGGAACCGCTATCTTATATTTATATTAAGATTTAACTGATGAAAAATTTAAGTGGGGGGGGGGGGGGAGCTCACAATCAGCTAATATCAGTATTTAATAGAATAACATGAAGGAACGTAGTTGCAAATTGGGAAAAAATTTGACTCTTAAGCCAAGGCGTCTGACAAGGGAACATTCCGAACTGTCAGTAAAAATTTCTAAATAAAAATTATACCATCGTGTAGAGCGTGGTCGAAAACGTATTATGGTTACTTTCTTTTTTGGCTCCGACCCCCATTTCGAAAAGTTATAGGGGTTCAAAGTTTCCTACTTTTGGAACGGTTGAGTCGCCCTCACTACTTTTTATTAAAGAAAATTTTTCTCATCCATAAGAGAAAGATAAGACTCCCATCCTCCTTTTTTCCTTTCCTTTTCTTTTCCAACATTAGTTAGAGAAAGAGAAAAGGGGGAGAGAAAAGAAAAGGAAAAGAGGCGTCTCTGCCTTGCAGCTAATGTCAATTTAAAAGGAAAGAGGAGAGGGCAGAGATGCCTCTTTTCCTTTTCTTTTCTCTCCTCTTTTTCTCTTTCTTTAACCAGCACAGGAAAAGAAGAGGAAAGAAATAAAAGAGAAAAGGAGTCTCATTTTTCCCTTAAGGAAGAGAAATAATAAGAAAAGTGAGGGCGACTCAACTGTTCCAAAAGTAGGAAACTTTGAACCCCTATAACTTTTCGAAATGGGGGTCGGAGCCAAAAAAGAAAGTAACCATAATACGTTTTCGACCACGCTCTACACGATGGTATAATTTTTATTTAGAAATTTTTACTGACAGTTCGGAATGTTCCCTTGTGAGAAATTTAAACTTTCAGTTGGAAATTCAAAAGCTAAAAATAAAACCTGTATTGGATAATTCCAAGCACCAATAGCCCCAACAACACCATAAGGTTCTCTTCTTGTGTAGGCAAACCGTTCATTTTGTTCATCATAAGGGAAATGTTCACCAGCTAAACGAACACCAGCAAAATATTCAAAAGTATCGGCACATGAAAGAATGTCTGCTTTTGCTTCGGAAATCGGTTTGCCGTTATCTCGGACTTCCCAACCGCTGAGTTCGTTGACATGCTCCCTGAAAAATTTAAAAAATAGAATGCAAAATTTAGCCGTAAGGAGTAAAAAATAATTTTAGGCAGCAAAAAAGTAAATGTCAAGTAAGCTCAAAAATATGATAAATATTTGGGCCTAGGATTGACGGATCCAGCTCAGAAAAAATTCCAAGTATTTTTAGTCTGGTTAATGGCTCCTTATATTCGCGGATTTGTAACGATCCGCACAAATTTCCCATTCAGTTGATACACAATTAAAAATCAATTCTGGCTATATTTTTTGAGGTACGTTCGTATCAGGGATGGAGAATTTTCAATTTTTAAAAAGCGAAAGGCTGAAGCTGAAGACCCAAAAAGGCGGAATTCTGCGAAAGGCAAATCCACCCCTAGTTCGTATGCACAAAAGCAGGCGTCAAAATTAAAAAGTCCAAAATTTCAATAAGGATTTGACCCTTCCCACGAAAAAATTTCCCTGGTACCTGCCCAAAAAATCTAAAACAACCTCAACAGAATAGCAGTTCTATTAAGAATTTGTTGTCTATCAATCCACGACGTTTTCCCCCACTCCTTTTGTGCTCCAGAAGCGACTCGTACCGCAAGCGTAATATCAGGTCCAGTAGCCGATTTGCATTCAGCAAGCAAATTTCCTTTAAAAAAATGTTTTTAGAATTAAAATTTAAAAGTAACCATTCCTCGGCTCAATTATTTTAAATAATTTCCCAGCAGAAAGATTTATTCTAGCTCCATTTACAAAATGTAGAGCGGCAAGTAAGTCATTTGGAATTGTAAATTTTCTCATTCGTTCTATAGGGTTCTCTACAAATTCATAAAAATGTTGAATTGCAATACTTGTGAGGAGTTGTGATGAACGAAGTTTCTAAAAAATTTGGACCTTTTCGGTTCACTAAAGAAAGTTCGCTAAAAAACACGCCCAATTAGGCGCGAGGCCATAACGGCGCAAAGCCATAACTTGCTGGAAAATTTCTGGCCCTTAATAATTTTGGTACCAATCTCTTTATCTCGATGAGAGGAATCGTTTACTACTAAACTTGGTAAGATTAAGAAATCCTGAAGCAAGTTATGGCTCGGCGCCGTTATGGCCGCGCGCCGGGCTGTACCCTAAAGAAAGAAGGGCAGCACTGAAGTGTCCAATAATAAAAAAATCGCGGAAAAGGACGTTTCGGTGCCGCCGTACAGTATCCGCCGATTCAATATATGGCCATAACTTTCTTGATTTTCGACCGATACAAATAATTCTCACATCATTCGAAAGGTCTCGAATTCGATATATTTTTTATAGCTGGCCCGATCTGATCTGATCA